AAAGATGTTTACAAACAAAATCTTTATCCTGATCTGAAATAAACTTTTCTATATTATGACATCAAAGCTATTAATAAACTCCAAAAATTGAGGGTCACTGACATTGTTTATTAATCATATGACACGACTTTACACTGAGATTTTATTCCAGTCCTTGACGATGTCCTCTGTCCTGTGGGAAGACGTGGCGTTCCTACTAGCCTTTACTGTTGACAGTCGGTGCCTGGGTGTTGGTCGGTGCCTTCGGTACCTGGGTGTTGGTCGGTGCCTAGGCGTTGGTCGGTGTCTTCGGTGCCTGGGCTTTGGTCGGTGCCTGGGTGTCGGTCGGTGCCTTCGGTGCCTGGGCTTTGGTCGGTGTCTGGGTGTTGGTTGGTGCCTTCGGTGCCTGGGTGTCGGGGCCTTCGGTGCCTGGGTGTTGACGGCCTGTTGCTTTGGGTTATCGGTCAGTGTCTGGGTATTGACGGAGACTATTTGGGCATACGTTGACGAGTTCCGAGGGCTGAGAGAGCCCGATGACTTGGCCGTCGTATGGTGTTGGCTGCTGTTGTTACAGCTCTTTGTCCTCCCAGATCCAATCTCCGTTGACGTCCTGTTCCAGATTTTTTACAAGTTCACAGGCTATCAGATTAAGGAGAGGCTAATAATTATTCAAAATCAATGTCCCACATTAGATCAATAACAATATAGGTAACTAAACCTGCCAAGATAATGAGTAAACCAACTGTACGCAAACGAAGCATGATGCAGATTAAAATATTCTCTAATATCCATAGCAACCTATTTAAACTTGTTCTCATTGTAGTACAGGTAAAATAATACCAAGAACACCACCAATAAAAAAATGGTCCGTTGATGAAACTTGGTGAAAACTTTCCTTTTGTCACAAGAATTAAGAATCTAAAGAGTCCATACAAAATTTTAGGTGGAAGGGTGTTTTTTTTGGGGGGGGGGAGAAATATCAATTTTTAAAACTGAGAATTTAATTATGACCAAATATAGGCATGTGACATATGTTTTTTGGGTTATTTTCGATGCAGGATCGAATGAAAAAAAGAGCCAGACGATATAATCTCCTTATCAAGAGTTTTTGTCTTGATTACCTCTTATATTCAATAAGTTTCCCAGTTAGTACAGGTAAGATGGTACAAAAAATAACATAGTATCCATGGTATAAAAAATCGTTCCGTTGATGAAATTTGGTGTAAACCTTTCTTTTGCAATAAAAATAAAGAATCAAAATAGTCCATAAAAATACACCCGCTGCAGCAAACCTGCAGATTAAGCGAATTTACATTTACCTAATTGGATTTTCAAGTAAATCTATTTAATTTAATAATAACACTAGGTTTAACAAGTACCTAGGTTAGCTACTACAGGGAGGGTATTATAGTGTGTTTTTCGTAAAATGTGAATAGCTTAGTTTAAAGAAAAAACATGTACCAAGTTTGATGGAAATATATCCATAAAAAAGCCAACTACAATAATTTACTCCTCCTTAAGAATAACATGGGAATTTTAATTTATGATTTATTGAAGTTTCTCCGTAACCACTAAAAGTAAAAACACACTTAAATATGTTACATTTATGTGTTTTACCCTATACTAAAAGGTTTAACGGGAAATTGAGGAGTTTTTGTTTTGAGGGTCAAAAATTAGAAAACCCTATTTGTACCCCATAAAAGCCCACATAACACCCCGTTCCCACGGTCCAATCATGCTGGTCCGTGAAGTTATTTAGGTTTATTCCGCCCTACACCTTCAAGCTATATTTCATAAAAATCTGAAAATAATTACTCAATTTATCGCGTTCATGTACCAAGTTCAGCTATGGGTTGGTAATAAATTAGTGCCTGAACAGCGGGGTTGGATACAACAGGATGGGAATTTGTTGCTACCAACTAAAATGACATTGGATGTAACCTCAGAAGATATCCTGAAGTTGGTGTCAACTAGGGTTATCTTACTAATATTATAAATGTGAAAGATTGTGTGTTAGTTTGTTTGTTTGTTTGTGTGTTTGAAGTTCAATCACGCATAAACCACTGGACGGATTGGGCTGAAATTTGGCATGATGATAGCTTACATTCCCGATTAACATATAGGCATATTCTTATCTCAAAAATCGTTTCGGGCTCTGCCCCAATGGCTATGTTGTTCACCATGTTAACCTTATGAGTATTCATATTTAAAGAGAATTAAAGAATTCAGCCAGCTGTTTAAACTAAAAAAGTTGGTTCTATGATATGCAAAAGCATTAAAAAGTAATGAGATTTACCAACAGGTTGCAGCACTATTATTTTTTTCATTTATGAAAACAGCTAAGTAATTTGAACCAAACAGCAACAAAAAGCTGTGATACAATGAGAACTGTCAAAGTAGGATTGATTAAAGTTAAGTTTATGTTTTCGTGTTGATATTGTGCGAATATTCGATAACTTACATTTGTATTGTTTAGGTGCAGTGGTAGATCATTATGGGTACGGTAGATGTGTTATACTATAGCATACCGTAAATTATAAGAACCAAATTTCCTCAAACCGTGTCCTCTCCCATTGCAAACGCAAAGCACGAGTATAGCTGATATAAGCATTTTATTCTTATACGCCAACCACGTACGAAGGACGGGTATTCCGCTAGTTCACTATAAAGCAGGTTATTTGCTCGCATGTGTAACAGAGAATAATATCCTATATAATATAGGCAAACATGTTTCTTGAAAACCTTTTTTCTCAGCTCCTGTGCATCGCAGGGATAATCTACGCGTACTGTGAGAAATATATTTTCCTGCAGGTGTGCAGAATCCCTTTATGAATTGAAAAAGACTAAAAAAATACGCACACAAATTGAGTTTAAAATGTAAAAAAGTTAACATGGGGCTTATGGGTTGTCGTGCTGGTGACGCAATGATAAACAGAAAATCAAAGCAAATGGAAGAAATTCCAATATCATGTTGTATTTACAGCGTGGGGTGGAAATAGAGAAGTTCTGTACTGTACTTTCAACCACTGTACGACCTCTAGTAGTTTTTAAAATGATTCTACTCCTTTCATTATTTTGTATATCTACTTATCAAATTTACAAAAAAATGTATAGCCTTACCCATATCTGATTCGTAACCGTTTCAATGTAGGCCTAATTACAATATTTTGAGTTTTATTTAATTTATTTAATGGTATTCTGTATTTAATACACCTATGTGGTACATTTAAAATTTGTAATACAATTTAGTGCAAATAAATAGAGTAAATTCTACTGTGATAACTTCGTAAATTCAGCATATAGTTTGTTAAAGTTAACGTCCTAATAATAAAAAATATTATATTTAATAGCCTAATAGTAATCAGTTAAAATACTATAACAACAAATAAATACCATTTCAAACCTCTACTTAAAATAAACACACTTTTTAAACATTTATTGTGCATTGTTAAAAATGTGGTAGGATTCAGTTAATGTACAAAAACAAAAATATCTTTTTTTGCCAAAAGTCATTAAACAAAATTTTCAATTAGCTCGTTGTATGAGATTTGGAAAGAATACAAGAATAAGAGTCAGTTTCTTCATAAAATTATCGAAACAATCAAAACCTCTTAAAAGCGCAAGTATTCACTATACAAAATTAATGTAGTCTGTAAGTTGTAAAATACGAAAAGAGTACTTAAGTAATAATAAGGCATTTAAAAAACCTAAAATGTGAAATACTATATTTTACATACCTGAGAATAATTGTATTGAGATCTTATTTTCTTTATTAAACGGTCAAATTTATTATTGGTTATATATACCTAAAAAATGTTGAAGTACTAAGAGTGAAGTTAAGGACAAAAAGGGATTTTTTACAGTTTCAAGTAGATAACACACATAAACGATTTTGCAAGAATGTTAAAAGCCACTACAATTTCATGATCAGATACTAAAGCAAATGTTTGGTATATATCATGCACAATAAGCTTCGGTTGACGTGCTTGGACCTTGAGTCCATCCCTCTCACAGTTGGTAAATATTTAAACTACTTGTCTAGACCTTAACTTAACAAAACAGTTATACAGGGATGTATTAAACGTTATGAAAATATAAGATTTAAGATAATGTTTTATCATGCAAGTGTATACTATACTGATAAAGGTAGGTACTGTATCATGTACAAAATATGAACAACACAAAATGATAAACAATTAGACCAGCGTTTAAAAAACTTCTTTGTAACATTTGTGAAAAAGTGGCATTAATTTTATAACTATTCAATGTTATTCGATTAATCTGTTTTAGATAATTAGGATGCATCTAGGCTTATTAGTATATTACTATTGATTAATCTGATTGATAAGTCAATAGTAAATTTATAAGGCCTACGTCATTCTACCCACAAAATTAAATTTCAAATTTGATTATTTTCCACGTACTGAAGTAATCGATTATAACTCACGGGTAAATATCCTACGCAGTATTACTAAGTAGGGATTATCACGACCAAACAAACAACGGAAGGCGTAGCAGTAAAAGTATTGAACAAAACAATACAGGATACAATTCAGTTATCCGTACATTAAGAAGAACCGGAGAAGGAGCAACGCTGTCAGAAGTGAACAACACAACACCGCGGAGAGCATTAGGCGTGACCCGTGTCATTAGAAGTGACTAATGATAACGCGGTGATAAGCGACGACCCCGGGCCTGCGCATGTGTAACGCGGTGACGACTCATTCATCAGCTGAGATCAGGTGAGCGGGTGACGATCATTAATTACCACACAGAGGCAGCGGTCCGGAAGGAAGTCGGCACATCAAGGGTCGGCGTCTTTGGTCCTTCTGGCCGGATTACCGCTAATTCCCGAGACGTGCGGAGTCGCGGCCTCACTAGAACTGCCGCCGCCGACATTAGCCGATCATTGTTTTCTCCCCTCCATCGCTATCAAGATTGTTTTTACAGGGCGTGTTTATTTAATTTCCTAACAGTCTAATCGCGACATTTCGTTACCGCGGGTAGAAGGAAGGCGGCCATAATCCTGTTAGTCGAGGAGCGCGACGGGTGGTGGGGGTCGGTCGATTCGGTCCGCGCGCTCCCATTGGTCGATGGGCGGGACCTCCCTCCGCCAATAGCGCGGACCCGCGGCGTGGCGCGGTGGCTCAGTGTAGCCCCGGCCGGATTGTTGATCTAGTGTTACCCTCTAATTCCGGAGCGCCGAGGAACCTCTGTTTTCTCAGTACATCGAGCCGAAAGGAAACGGCCCGTTTGTTTTCACTTAATCTCTGTGTAAACTCGCCGGTGTTGTGTGTCATAATAAGAGCGGGCCACTTCCTAACCTCACTTTTTTATCGCGAACGTCTCGCCTCGACTCGGGCCGCTAATACTGTTTGCATACTAAACACCCGGACCTTCGGATTACGTCTTGCTATGCGTTAACCTCGTCTCGGAAAATGCACACTCTGTTCGGCGACCAGAACGACTACCACCGCTACTACAGACAGACCGGAGGGTACCCCGGCACCCCAGTGGGCACCGCGTACCCTGGGTACGAGCAATACGCGAGGTATGGATACACCACGCCGTACCCGCACCAGCAGCCGCTGCACGGGCCCTCCAAGGACATGGTCAAGCCGCCGTACTCGTACATCGCGCTGATAGCCATGGCCATCCAGAACGCCGCCGACAAGAAGTGCACCTTGAACGGCATCTACCAGTTCATCATGGAGAGGTTCCCGTACTACAGAGAGAACAAGCAAGGCTGGCAGAACAGCATACGTCACAACCTCAGTTTGAACGAGTGTTTCGTCAAAGTGCCGCGTGACGACAAGAAACCCGGCAAAGGCAGCTACTGGACACTCGACCCGGACTCTTACAACATGTTCGACAACGGCTCGTACCTCCGCCGCCGCAGAAGGTTCAAGAAGAAAGACGCTCTTAGAGAAAAGGAAGAAGCACTCAAACGTCAGCAGCAACAAGCGGAGGCGCAACTGTTGAAGCGACAAGACGACAAGACCACCATCAGTCCCGTGCTGAGTTCCGACATGAAACCCAAACAGTTGGAGTGCAAACCGAAGAAAGAACCTCAGGCGACATTCAGTTCGTGTATGAGCGCCAAGTACGCATCGGGAGTTCCGGGACTCGACGTCAAACCGGTTCTGGAGCAGAGTCGTCTCCTGGAGCAGATGGAGGTCCCCTTCAGCGTGGACTCGCTGATGACGGGTTCGCAGGGCTACGGGAGAGTGCAGCCCCCGGTGTACAGTTACCATTGCGCCCAGTACGACCATGTGGACTCCGGTGGCGCAGTCCAGCAGTTCGCTCCGACCACCCCCTCGGGCAGACATCCCACCTGGTACACCTCGGATCCTGCGGAACTCTTCGAGCCCGTGCCCAACCCGTCGTGTCAGCTGGGCTTCCGAGCAGCCGCCTCGTCCTACTACCACCAGGAAACAGCCAAGTACTGACGCCCGGAGATCTTCCGATAGTGGTAACAGGTAGGAAGTGGCTGCCACCTTCTGGAGGATATGCTCTGCCTAGAGACTGATTTGGGGGTTTGACAACCAGGCTAACGCAAAATTTAATATTTTCGTAAAGTTGCATTAAATCTTTGTTTGGTGCACGTCATGTGCAAAGAAAAATTTTACGTTTATCAAACATTTTACGTTCCAAGTTTAAAAATGGTAAAAAATTAGATAATTTTTTTAGGAGTAGTGGATGGAAACAAATGGTATTTTATTAGTTTTTACATCTTGGGAAGATTACTAATGACACTATATACCAATGTGTATTTGAGTTACAAATTGTAAATTCTTTTGAAAGGTACACGAAAAAGATTTTATTCAGTGAATATCCTATAGCTGGTGGCGGCCGCTTCGCCGTGATGTGAGTGCACATATGGACTATAAATTATTATTACTGTAAATAGTTGTAACGAACCATGAACAAGTTACGAGAAAGAGAATAACCGAATCAGACGATTATTTGACTGCTGTAAATATTCCTGCATTTCGATAGCTATGGTATATATTTTTCCGTGTTTTATCAATTTTAAAACTTTTTGTGTTAGATGTCTTGAGATTGATATCACTAAGCAATTGTTTTTATTGATGTTGTAAAGATCAATAATACGTTTATAAGAGGTGATTTAAATTTATAAAACCTACAATTTACTGAGTAAATATAGTCTATTGATTTGGCACTTCATCAGGTTTTTAGTCATAATTGTAATTTTATTATAGATAGACTTTTTTACCCTTTTTATCATTATTAAGCGATAACATCAATTTCAGTTTTTTAAATAAACCAAAATATTCAATTCAATGTCAAATGATGCAATAAATTGTTGTTTTACAATTAATAATTATTTCTAATTATTTTACAAACAGTTGACGTGCTAGCTCATATATTTTTAAGTAATTAAAAAATCACGATGAACCGTAGCTTAATATTTTCAAAGTTTTTTTGTTTTTCAAACAGGTATATTTCGTTAAGTCATTTAAGCAACCAAGCAATGCTGGATTGTCTCACAAGGACAACAAACTAGTTAAACTGATTTTATTTTCAATAAATCTAACAACTATTGCTGCAAGCTTGAGTTTCCAATGCTACGCAACGACCAGATTACAAAATACGAACCGGGTTCAATAAGTATCCATATTTAACTTAAGTACCATATAACAATAATAATAAATCTCCTGAAATTACAACAAACTTTAACATTTATTCTTGAGGGACTATTTTTGCAATAAATCTAACAGTATTGATTACAACGTCATTCAATTGAAGATTTTAAAATAGCGATAGGTTTAACTTTTGTATACACTGTGTTCCTCTAATGTTAATTTTACGCATTTGTGAATTAACATGCAACTAAAGTAAAATGTTTTGCTATTTTTTTTTCTTTCGTAAAATATGAAGAAAGATGGGTGTTGCTTTTGAAGACGTTTAAATAAAATAGTGATATCATTATTGTAAATTTGGACGTAAATATGCCATTTGAACACCACACTAATATTCATATATTCACATGATTATTTTTCAAATTAAGTTCTTATAACACTTTAGAATTTATTCGTTCATTACTTGTATGCGAAGATTCTTTACATTTCTAGTTTACTAAACGTAGAATATTTAATAGATTACCTTATTTTGTTTAGCCTTTTCAAAATTAAAAACAATATTTATTTTCTAAAGGTAGGAAATTATAAAATAAATTTATTCTTATCATTAACATAGGGTTCGGATCCTTTTTCGCCCATGTAGCTTAAACCCGTAAAAAACTTCCAGCAAGATTTGAAATGGAATAAAATGTGTAGACTAATAAAACAATAGTTTACATATAAGATTAAAGTTAACTTAAACACTTTTTAACCCATTATACCTTTTTGTTGACCCTTAGTCAACTCAACAGCCAAAGGAGTGAATCAGTTTAATTTGGTTCAAATTGACGCGTAAGTGGAGGATTTGAGAAGACAGATGTTTTGGACGTCGGCCTGGGCGATCCCCGACGTTTTATTTATGGCCTCTTAAAGGATTTACAGGCCCATATCAGGACCGCAACGTTTACAATCCGATAGTAAATTAGAAAACGCTAAGGAACTCCTGTAATAGTTAACTGCAAAAGGAGGAACAGTAAACTGTGCAAAAATGAAAACCATTTTTGGTAAACCGTGTAATAGTGAGGTATCTCTGTATAAAACCTACGCGACAATAATATGGAACAGGGTAAAAATTGAAAACAACAGTAAAATATAATATAACAATAAAATATTTTGGAAAAATATAACACAAAAAAGTGAGTACAAGTGAGTACAAGTGAGTAAAGTGAGGACCTTTAATCGTCAAGTGGACAAATCTGTTGATAATAAATCGTACGGTCGTGAGAAATGAATTAATAAATTTAGAAAATCGAGCCTTTAACTAAAAAAACCCTTTACATCCATGATTTACAATAAATTCGTTAGTCAAATACATAAAAATGCAATCTTGTTGTTTATTAATGTTTTGTCGATAAAATACAATATTGACCTCGACATTGTCCAACAAGATTATTTCCGTACTTCAGATAAATCTACTAATCTGTATCATCAATCTGACACATACTCTCTCCCATTAGCTTTTAAACAGCACTTATTAATGAGGGTAAATTGGTAAATTGGTGGGAGTAACTATATTTTATGGGGAAAATCACAAAGTTGCAATAACGTTTGAACTATCTTACATCAATGGGGGTTTTACCACTTTGTTTAGAGAAGGGGTATCCAACCTTTTCTACTCAAGGGTGGAATTGTCATTTTTGGAGGAAAGGCCGGACTTTTAATATTTTAGTGCAGAAAGGTACACCCCCTCCAAATAATAAAAAAACGAAATAGTTTTCTAATTAAAAGCTTAGCGGAAATATTTAAAATTTTCTTGCTGATTTTTAGTGCCTAATATATTACTTTTAGACTAACTTTAGAGCTAGAGCTATAACATACTAAATTACGATTCAGTTGGACCAAAAACGGATGCATCCTTCCAAAACTCAAACGCGAAAACGATATTTTCTTCATATACCATGTGGGGGGGAGAAAGTAAAAATAATTGACATTGGCTTTATAAGGAACCACATCTTTACAACCCTTTAGCACCATTCAACACGTGTGCTGGACGAAATCGCCAACCCAAACAAACATTCCTAGGTCAAAATGACCTTTTAACGAGCTTGTGAATGGGCAGAGTGTAAACCTGTGGGGTCCAGGACTAACACAGGATTACTGTCAGGATACAAAGAGGCCAGTGGCCACAGGGGGCCTCGACTTGGCGGGCTAAGGACAAACATTGGCACTAATTTGGAAACGTCAACCAACGTCAAAATCTAAAACGGACCCGGACGTGAGGCGAGAATGGACGATGACGCGTCACGTGGTCATCCAGGACTTCCGGTCGTCCTGGGAAGCGAATGTGCCTGCCTTTGTCCTTGGTTTATTTCGTGATTTTTTTGCGTGGATTTTTAAACATTAGTATATCTGTCACTTCGTAATTGGTATCCTAAGTGTCAATAATTCGTGGTTGCAGATTTGGTGTAATATTTTGCTCCAACGTCAGTACGTATTCTGCAGTGTGAATTTGCAATTCAGAATCCAACTACAGTTCCATGCGATTGCAGTCTTTTTTGGATACGCGACTTGATTTTATGTTAGTATGGAATTCTTCCTTAATCCCTTCCTAAAGTACGAATATCATGGGTTTGTATTTTCCGGGGGTTTTGGTTTCTCCCATCATATGTTCAGTACTTCAAAATATTCGGAATCTTAAAACCAATTTAGTACGTGTAGCCTTTTTAATAAAATATTTTACTTTAGGTGTCAATGATTCGTTATAGATTTTTTTGTATTTAAGAATTCTCTAACTGGAGAATTTGTGTCACTTAGTAATTCAAAATTTAATTAATTCAAAAGTTTTGGGATTTTTTCACGAAAAAGTGTTTTGGACACAATACTGTACTTTCTCAATGTTAATCCTGCATTAATCTTTGTGCGTTTATGTGGGCTAGTGGTCTAAACCAACCATATATCTATGGTTTAGGATTGCCAACAATGTTTATGTTACAGAAAATCTAAAATAATTTGTTTCGTAATAAAAAAACTAAGGAACACAAATTAAAATATGTGTTCGGAATAAAAATATGAGGGTATGATTATATAACTTTTGACGTTGTAGTAACTGAAATATTGTATGCTAATTCAATTCCATTAAAAACAAACACACTGAAATGAAGATCTTCTTTCTTCTAAATTTTTTTTATCATTTGGAGTATAATATGTTTTGCCACAAAGTTGGCATGATTAGCTTAATCATGCAGTTTAATAAAGAAATATAAAGAATGACAGGTAAAAGGGTATGTGGTGTGGTTTGTTATTGTCTGAGTATAGGGAGTAAAATCCTAAAATATACTGTCACTCGAAATGCACCATACGGTACGATTCTCCAGAATAATAAAACATAGATATGATAGGGAATTATATTGACTTACTTTATTTCTCCATAAGACAATCTAACCTTTGAGGAATGTGTTTTTTTTTTTTTAATATCATAAATTCTGCTCAATTAAAAACATACCCAATTATCCGTTGTATAATTGACCAAATCTTGTAGAATTAGGCTGCAGTATTACAATTTAAAAAATAGTCTATTCGAAATTACATATGAATGAAACAAATAATGAATAACCATAACTGGTTTTAAACACAAAAAATGTTTGCAAATCAATAGACACACAAAAAGTTATCAAACCTAATTGTAACAAATACGTAATTTAACTAATCTATATATTATCAATCCATACGTAAATTAGGCTACATAGTAAAAAATATGAACGTGATTATACAAATAAGTCACGTGGTTCTATGATATTCAGTCCGAAAACTAAACACAGGCACACATGTGATGCGATGTGATGTTTAGACAAGGTAAATGCCAATAT